TATCGTCTGGTAGGCCTCTACCAAGTAGCTCAGCCTCCGGGCGATTACGGCGTCCATTACCTTTCCTATTGTATTGAGTAATGCTATAGGCCTGTATGCCTTCGGCACTGCGTAGTTATCTTTGCCTGGCTTTCTAAGCACTACCGTGGTGGATGTCCTGAAGTGTTCCGGGCAGTAGCCTAGTCTGAGGCTCTGGTTAAAGATATTAGTGAGGTGCTTAACAAGAAGCTCAGCTCCTGCCTGCAGCGCCTTGTTTGCTATCCCGTCTGGGCCTGCCGCTTTTAGCGGGGCGGTGGCCATCACGGCCTCCAGGACCTCCTTCTCTGTGATCTTCGGTAGATTTATCTGCTGGTCGTACTGTGCGTTCTGGGTGTCGTCGAGATCGGCGCTTGGTGGCGCTGGGAAGAAGACTCTTCGGAAAATCCGTGCCTTCTCCTCGGTGTCCGTCACTTCCCGTCCTGTGTTAGGACATCGAATCGCTGGTGTGACGCTCAGAGGTTGGTTCTCCCTCGTCCTCGCCCACTTTGCTACCTTCCAAAGAGACTCGGGATTGGCCGCGGCCATCTCCACCCTGTCTCTGTGTGCTGCCTTTAGAGCCTTCTTGACCGTCTTGGTCTTCAGGTTCCGTACAGCTTTGTACTTTTCCCACGACTCCGCTGTGCGGTCCATGCTGTGGAACCGCTTAAGTCGTTTTACTTCGGTCAGTACTCGTTTGCATTCCGTGTTCCATCCCTCTTTTGCCCTTGGTGAAGGGCGTGTTTTAGGGAGGACTTCGTTTGCCGCCTCGTTGATCGCGCTTGCAATCTCCTTGGTGTATCGATCCAGTGCCTTCTTGGTTCTCGGCCGCTGTACCTGAGGTAGTATCTGTACGAGCGCCTTCCGAAACCTCTCTTTCTCGAGATGTTTTCACCACCTCACGGGTTTCCTCTCTCCGTGTTGTACTCTCAGGTCCATGACTATGCTGATCGGTAGGTGATCAGAGTCGTGCTCCATGTCTCTGTCTACTTCGCACCGGATTATCCGATCTGCTATTCCTGCGGACATCCAGCAGAGGTCGATCGTCGACCTCTTTTCTCCTTCTTCGTATGTGATCGCTCCTTGGCGGAGTGTGCTCATCATACCTATGCTCTGCATAACGTCCAGCAGCTCCTCTGCTTCCTCCTCGTGTTTGTCTACCCTCTCTCCATCCCATACTGGGTGGTGGAGGTTGAAGTCGCCTAGCGCCATCTGCTCTTCCGCACTGTTCTCTTGGCAGACTTCCTGTAGCTTTGGAAGCGCGCTCTCGCGTCCTTCCGAGCATTGCGGGGGGTTATACACATTGTGGATGATTATCTGGCTTCCCTCCCCACTTTCTTCGCTCCGTCTAATGTATAGGGTGCATACATCCCTAGTGTGTGCTTTAAATTGCCATTTGGTCTGGTCTAGCCACTTATTCACAAAGAAGCAGAACCTTGCCGTCTTGCCTTCCCGTTCAGGTGGGTAGCAGAGGTGGAAGGTCTCTTTGGCCGGATGGTGTGTGGTGTCCATGTATGGGTTCTTCCATGGTTCTTGGATGGCCACGACAGTGATGCCCATGGGTTGGGTAGCCGTGGGTATGGGTTGGGTTTGAACAGCGCTCTAATTACCCATTACCCATACATTTTGGGTGGGTAATGGGTAATCAGATAGCTGCCGTACCCAAGTCGACCCATACCCATGGTACCCATAATATGCAGCCACTTTTAGTGTTGCATTAGCGCTGCATATGCCAATCCATATGCGCACACATTAGCTATCCAAATATCAAATTGCTACCTATTTCTTATATAATTGTGATTATGGCGAAGCTGGATCGTAAGAAGTCGACTTCGAAAAAGCGCGGTCGTGCAAACACTGCAGGCGACGACTATGAGCCTCCTTTATCTGCTCCTTCTCTTACATATGTCGAATCCGATACTGAATCAGATACTAATAAGGACTCGTCGGAGGATGAGATCGATTACTCGGTGCCTATTAATTGGTAAGGCAAGGTGTACTACCGATCATCAGTAACCGAAAAGCGGTTAGCAAAAGCCAATCCTTCAGCAATATGGAAGTACAACCGTGGATTTGTAATGGTGGAGGCAAGGACGCAAAAGCAGTACTACTACTGCCGAAGATGCATTAATGACAAGAAGGATCCAAAGTATGAGCTGATTGGTTAGTAGCATGCTTATAACCTTGCTAATCTGATAGAACTGACCTTGAAGCACTTGATCACGGCATGTCGAACGTAAGGCGGTATTAGCTCAACTTCCATCGCAGAGATGATGATGACAATCCATTGCTAAGTCTTATTGTTGAAGTAATGTCGAAGAAGATACCAAAGCACTATGGGCTGGTTGAGTCGACTTTTCAGCAGTTCAAACGTGCTCTCATCTATTGGATGGTGTACACGCATATTGCGATTTATCAGCTGTTGAGCGGTGGTTTCTTCTATGAGATGGTGAAGATCTTGTTACCTGGTATCGTAACTATGCTTCCGAAGCGCAATATACTGCGACTATGGATTCTTAACATCTTCTTTAAGGAAAAGAAGGCACTGAAGAAGCGACTACAACTGTCAAAGTCGCGCATTTATATTAGCTTCGATCTATGGACGTCGCCAAACTACTATGCGCTTCTCGCTGTCGTCGCGCACTTCATTAATAAACATGGTTAAAGGCAGCAGATGCTGCTTACTATCAAGCCAGTTGAAGGTGAACATTCTGGGGTTAATATTGCGTCAGTCATCCTTCAGGTGTTCAAGGAGTACCGCATAGGAAAGAAGATTGGATATTTCGTTACTGATAATGCGAGCAACAACAATACTGCGATCGATGAAGTCCTACGTGCTCTTTATCCTCAGATAACAGCCAAGCAACGAAAAGGACGACGCCTTCGGTGCCTTGGCCACATAATTAATATTTATGCGCAAAGGTTCATCCATGATTATAATGCGGAGGAGGAGGTGAAGGTACTCGGCGACTATTTTGTATACGGTGACTATGAGGCTATCAGTGACTTCTGGCGCAAGAAAGGACCGCTCGGAAAGCTTCATAACCTTGTTCGATATATTCGAATGACGCCGCAAAGATAATAGGAGTTTACTGGATATATAGTGGTAGATAAAGATTATATTCAGTTTAACCATCTAATGGTGAGTAGATTTGATATCTTATCCTGACATTCTGATTGGTCAGTTCAGCCATCACGTGCTGCACTAACCAATTTGATCAAGCTAAGTCAGGAACCGATTTGCCAAGAGTATCCCACTTTTTCATATTTGCTCAACTTTAACACCAAAACACGCTCAAAGCATATTAATTTTACCTATAATCGCTTTTATATGCTTCTGCGCGTCAAATGGCACCAAAATATTAAGTCTTGGACGTGTTTTGATGAAGTTATTACGAGAAGATGAAACCCCGAATATTTTAGTCAAAATCTATTCCTCTACTATTGCAGTCATTACCCTACAGTTACTAACAACACCACAAATCAGCCTATCCAGACAAATAGCACTCGCTGGAACAGCTATTTATTATCAATTGGTCGAGCACTTAATCTGAAACCTTAAATTAACTTATTCTGCAATTCTTACAACCCTATAACTGGTTCAGGCGTTCAGGAGGACCGACTGACTCCAAATGACTGGCTCCTGCTCGAAAAGCTTCACGACTACCTCAGTGTCTTCTTCCTCGCAATAATAGCTACTCAGGGCAAAGATCGAACTGCTGAACGCTATATAATAACTATAGCATATATAATGGATCGTTTAGACGATATTCGCAAAGAATGCGAAGAGATTGCGACTAAGAAGCCCGAATTCACGATTATCGCGACCACCGCACAGTCAGTATGGGACCGCAGCGAAAAGTACTTCAACGATATCGACAACATGCCTGTTTATTATGCAGCTGCGATGCTTCAACCAAATATACGGCTTGCTTGGTTTCGCAAGGAATGGGAGCAATCTACTGATCCTGCTCGACAGTGCTGGTACGCGCCGAGCATTGAGGCAGTTCGAACACTGTGGAAGGAGGACTATAAAGGCCAATTTCGCGCTGCTACTTCTACTGCTATGCCTTTACCACAGAAAACGAAGCGCACAGAGGAAGAGGAGTTTCTTTATGCATATTACCATCCAGAGATTACTGATGATGCAATAGATCCTTTTGAAGAGTACCTCAACGCTGCACCAACGCGTTTTCGACAGGATGAAGATGCGATCACGTTCGCGCAGTCGATTGAGCATAGCAAGCCGGATCTCGCAGCTTTTATATATGATATGGCTGCTATTCCTGCAATGAGTGCTGAATGTGAACGCATCTTCAGCAGTGCAAAGATCCTCCTTCGCGACCAGCGCGCCCGACTGCTGCCTATCATGATTGAAGCTTATGAATGTATCCGCCATTGGCTTCTTAATGCAAAAGATGATATCCTTGCTCGGTCACCTCTTTAATATGATAAGGATGTGGTGAAGGATGAGAAGCAACAGATGGATGATGAAGATGGCGATCAGGACTTTGCACAGCAGGATAATGACTATAGCGACGACAGCGACGACGACTTCAACGGCTCATATCAGGTACTAGATGGATAGATGTGAGTAGTACCCTCTCTATTAATACGTATTTACTGATATACTACAGACATAGTGAATCTACTACTTTAATACTATAATGTTGCCTATTCATAGTCAAAATGGGTACCATGGGTATGGGTAAGGATGGGTAATGGGTAATGGGTGGGTTTAGGCGGTCCGACCGCCTATGGGTTTGGGTAGACCCCCCAAACCCACCCATATCCAACCCATGGGCATCACTGGGCCACGATGTCGTACTCCGCCGTCCTGGCGTCTCGCATCAGCATGGCCATTACTGTGTCCTTTGATTTTCGAACATTATACTGTAGTATGCTTAATTGGACGTGCTCCACCATTATATGGGGGTCATATCCATGTCCTCTTCTATTTCTATATTGGTGGTTGCATTGGTGTCTCACGCCTCCAGCGCCTTACGTGATGGCTGTATCACGCGTTGCGGCCTCTGGCTGCTTGCCGCCGATTCGTTCTCCTTGTTCTCCTCGCCGCTGGCCAGCCCTGTATTGGTCTGCTTCGAGGCCCGGCCTGCTTGGGAGGCGGTCAGGTCCCTCGTTAACCGTTGTCTCTTCATTCCGGTTATGGGGTTTCCAACCTGGGCTACCGGCTTCGGGGTCTCTAGTACCGGGTGGTACTTGGGTCGGTTGTCGTACGCCGCCTTGGTCCTGGTAAGCTGTTCCTTCCTGATCTTGCAATGGCGGTTCCAGGACTCGTGCGGTCCGTTGCAGCCCGCGCACTTCTTGGGTGTGTCGGCTTTCGAAGGGCAGTCCCGGGAGTTGTGTTCTTGCGCGCAGTGGCCGCATGCTGTTCTGGCTTTGCATTGGGTTCCTATGTGGCCGTATTTCTGGCAGTTGAAGCATTGCTTCAGGCGGCATTGTCGTTCGTATCTCTCGGTGTCATGGTGGCACCCCTGCCATGTTAACCCCTCATCAATGATCTTATTCGCATCCTCCGGCTTAGTAAACTCGATTACCAGCGTGGACATCCTCTTGGTCTGTGCCTTCCGACTGAGCCATCCTATGTATTTGATTTCTGCTGTTGGGATGAAAGGCTTGTTCTCACTCAAGATAGCGGCGTTGATCTCGTCCAGTCTATCCATGTCTACATCTTTAGTATATACGCTGTGTATGAGAACACCGTACGTCTGGCGGCGTATTGACATTCCGTTCCCTATCCTAGTGACCCATTCCTGGGCGGACTGTCTGAGCGTCTGTGTTTCGCTCGGCGTGACTGTTTTATACTGATATCTCCGCTCATGAGTTGGTTGACAGACATGACCTTTGCGTTGGTTACTCCGCCCTGGGCTATAGCTTGCTTGACGTGGGCTTTCAGGTTGCGTGGGTTCATGGCCCGCAAGTGGAGGATCGTTTGTGCATTTCTAATATTCATGATGATCTCACGATGCGTTTGAGCAGGTGGTCTTGTGTTTTGTGGGCTATATATACTTGTTGCCATCGCTCCTTGCGCTGCCACAGCGGCATAGCTTGCCATAGCCTGCTGCTGCTGTGTCCCTTTGCTTCTGAGTACCGTCCTGCCTATGTCGACTGCCTCAATCGCCGCTGTCTTCGCTTCTTTACCCGCTGTTGCTGCTGCTTGTGTATTTGCCTTTATTGCCTCTATGTCTTCTCGGATGTGTCGGAAGCTTCGTCAATGCTTTTCCATCCGTTCGCTGTCTCTGTGCGCAGTCGATCTACCTTCTCTTCTAGGGTGGCTACGTCAGGGGTGTCCTTGATTTTGGCGAGCGCGAGTAGCGCGCTCTTGAGAGCTTTGCTTAGTTGCTTTCTATCGATCTCTTTATCTCTTTCTACGACGTGCAATGTATCGCTGAGCTGCTTCGTGATTTCTAGGACACGCTCTCGAAGGTTGGTGAGCCCGGTTACCTCGTGGACCAGGGCGTCCCCATGTCTTCCGGCCGCGTTGGGCGGTGCGGCTTCCGATAAAGCACTTTCCGGTCTTCAGGGGGTGTATGTGAACACAATTGAGCTCTTTATTCCAAGAATGAGAGTTCTCACTGTTGTTGTGCTTCATGGATTGTTGTGCTTTTAGAACACCGATGAACGGGACACATGCGCTTCACTTGCGTATCACGTGCCCCACTACAGAGGGGTATTTATGCCACGTATAGCACTCAGCTCAGTTGATTCCTTAGTCGTCAGTCTTGACACTCAATCCAGACATATTGTTCCCCATCTTGGTATCACGCTTACATCAACCCCTTACAAAGGACTTATGATTCTGGTCTATAAAAACATCATGTCTCTACCTCTGTTAACAGCTCTCTGTAATTCAACTGTCTAGTTTACCTTGTAGTTAGTTTGAATACATTCTCATATCTTGAAAGCTCATACTACTCTGAACCATAAACATAACTGTCTTATTATACTTCCTTCCATAATAAGCCTCAGTTATACCTTATTCCTTTGCTCTAGGAAGCTAAACCCTTCCGAAGTGGTTTACATTAGTAAAGCCAGTCGGTATTGGGAAAGTATTCCTAACACTATATCCTAGGTCTCTATATAATATCTCTTAGAGTTATAATTTATTTGTTCATGTCTGAATTCAAGTAATCTACATAATAGCTATTCATACTTATACTTACACGGAATATATTTGTAAGGGGTTGATGTAAGCGTGATACCAAGATGGGGAACAATATGTCTGGATCGAGTGTCAAGACTGACGACTAAGGAATCAACTGAGCTGAGTGCTATACGTGGCATAAATACCCCTCTGTAGTGGGGCACGTGATACGCAAGTGAAGCGCACATGTCCCGTACCGTGTACGTCGATGTTCTCTCCGGCCCACGAAGGGATAGACGGTAACGAAGAGGCCGACCTGGCCGCGAAGACGGCCGCAGGATGGACAGAAGAAGGCATGGAAAGCCATAGGGCCCCAACGCCTCCCCGCCTACACCCGCTGAGAACCACGCTGAAGACGTGGGTCAATAAGACTGCCCGCACCCGCTGGACCAGGAGCTGGCAGCAGGAGACGAAGGGTAGAGCTACATACCGGCACACACCGCTACCAGATAAGAAGGTGCTACAGCTACATAAGGGCCTAACTAAGGCCGAGAGCGCCTTACTCGTGCAGATGAGAACCGAGAAGATCGGGCTCAGAGACTTCCTCTTCTTCCAACGTGTTCCAGGTTTCGAGGACCCAGGATGCCCCTGCGGCGGAGGCCGCCAAACAGTCGCGCATACGCTCCTGCGGTGCCGACTGCTCCAGGATGAACGACGGCTCGGATTCGGGGGCCTGCCGGGCAGAGAGGACCTGCGAAAGGTACTCTCAACACGCAAGCTAGCCACGAAAGCGATCACACTTATGGAACAGGCGAGGGCCCTAGGGCAAAGGGCGCCGAGCGAATAGGCGATGCGAAGTATTGGGTGGAGACTGAAGGTATCAAGGATGGCGAAACATGGGGCATACCCCTCTGAGCCTATACATCGCAGAATAGCTAGTAGTAGAGCCACTGTCAACAAACGCGCACCGGGCATTTGAAGATAGAGGCAGATGGTAAGAGGGTGGGTGGAAGAGGAGACTGGCCATGTTTGTTTACTCCGAAGTTTGCACGCATGGTGAAGAGGGACGTGTGGAGCCACTTGCTGGTCTTATGATTGGCCATAAGTTAGCACATCACGTGTCGGTCACTTGATGAAGCCCGCCTAACCGGGCATAGCTGCAGATAATTAGCAGCCAAAACCGAGTAGGATCAAATCAATCAATCAATCATAAGGCCCTACAAATAGGATGAGAGAAGAGGTTACTACAGAAAGACAACTCTAAGCAGGAACAAAACTTCAGGAAATAGATCCATAAAGAGGAATGCAAATAGATCACATGACTTGTATGTAGCCTGCATAACTTATCCTAACTAGGATGGGTCAGGGTAAATGACAATTCAAATCAAATCAAATCAAATCAATCAATCAATCGATGCGAATCCAACCGTGTGAATCATCAGAAAAATCAATCAATCGGGAGAATCGATCTACCAAAATCGAAGTGTACTTGAAAGTGTGGAATATCTTTATTATAAAACGCGTGGACGCGTCAACATCGGAACGCGATAAGGCGGCCCGTGCGCCCGAAACGAGAACACCAAGTTTGGATCCGCGATGGCCGATGGGGAGGTGATAGTGGTGGATACAACTGAGGGCAGGAACACAAGAGGAAAAGCCCGTGCGGCATCTAAAAAGAAAGAAAACTCCGGGGCAGCTGCTGCCGTTCGCCTTTTGGAAACATGCCAGAAACTGATACAAGGCCACCAATCCAAAAGTCAAGCGAGGAC